GTGGGACTAGCTTACATTCAATATTGCATGAACATTTGACTGTAAAAAAATTGTTTTTGAAAAATTTGTCAATCAACCAAAAACGGGACTCGTGTTGATTGGTCGAAAGAAATGCTCAAAAAATACGATCGCGGTGCTTCGAAACACGTCTATGGCATCGAGACAGGTGGTGAATTATGAATGCGTATGAGCCCGAAAGGAAACAGCAGTCAACAGTATGGGTATTTCAAGATGAGCCAAATCCAACAAAGGCTGTCCGCGCACCAAGCACTTCCGAGCAATTGATCTCCTGTTTTTTTTTNTTTTTTTTTCGGAAAAACTGGACGTGCCGCAACCGTACCACTAGGACGAGCAGGACAGTCAATTCTGAGTGGTATACCACCATTTGTTTGCCAGTTGACTTCCAAAAAAACAGGAAAAATAACTGAAGACGGACCACTCTTCACCATGACAGTGCGAGCTCCCACACATCGGCTCAAACAACTGCATTTTTGAGCACTCAAAACAACGATTTGACAGTTCATCAGCCATGTATTCCCCGGGTGACTTCTTCTAATCCCGTACGTAAAAAAATAAAATGAGAGGTAAATTTTTTCGATTCTGAAGAAGCCGTTGATGCGTCCAGAATCCATGTTCTAGAGTTACCTACATCAGAGTGGCAAAAGTGCTTCAAAAACTGTTCGAGCTCATGCAAAAGTGTATAGATCTCAATGTGGAAAATTTTGAAAGGCAGTAAAACGATTTCCAATAAATAGTATTTGTTTCTGTTCTCAAATCTCAAAATATAAAAGGCAGCCTACGTAATCGCCAAAGGTCGAAAAAATGCCTTCCCCTAGCGAAGAGCAGTTTCGAGGACATGAACCACAGTCTGTTGGTGGTTATTAGAAGGTCTAATCCGATCTCCTGGACATTCCTCATTTCTTATGAAAGCTCTTGAGAATTCCACGTAAACACATCCTTTGAAGCTGCTCTCTGAGTACTCAGTATGCTCCTATTTCCACAGCTTTTCGGTACAAAGGTTGACAACTACGTATCGAAGTTGCTCTTCAATACCAACTGGTTGAGTAGATGGTGATCCAATAAAGTCATTTTTGGTGTTGCTGAGTGGGTTTCATCGCCAAAGTTTACCACCATTCGCGCCCACAGCAAGTGGTTCTGATATGATAGTGCTCCAGGTTTTGGTGACTCCTGGGAATTCTGTTTTCATTTCCTTCTCTGTTTGTTGATGTTTGTCGTTACAATAAGCGAAAAGGATGCGAGCCTTATTTAAAAGAAGAAATAGAGTTGCGTCTCATTCGAGAAGAAAAATTTCTTCACTATTGGCTGTAAGCCATAATTTCAGGAGAGGGTTTTGTCACGGTCAGCTGAGGTTGTCGTTGCAGTTGTAGCGCTGGGCCCGCCATAAAATCTCGCGATCGCAGCTTTGCCTATTTGACTTTTCTTTTCCTTGCCAGCGACGGAAGCCAGAGAAGAACTGCAGGACAAGATAGGAAGATAATAGAACGGCTAGTAGAAGGATGGCCTTTGATCGAAGCACGAGGGCCCGATTCTGGGTTACCTCGAAGTCCCATGAAAACGACCTATCAATAAGGAAGGGTTGAGAGTTTTCAATGTCCTTATGCCTTTCTGCAACCTACTGAAATTAGCGAAGACTGCGCAATCAAAATCTGAGTGAAGGCGGAAGGAGCAACTGATTCTACTGATCGAATTTTCAGCAACTGTTGCTCGAAAAAAATTGATTGTAAGTAGGAAGTAAGGATCTGCAGTCCTGAGCGGTGACTCAAAAGAAGATTAAACCATTCAGAAAGCGGTATCCCTGAGCGGGGTCGATTTTCTGGAAGACCTCTAGAAAAAAGTGATTGTACTGAGTTCACCATACAGGAGTACGTACTGCCTTTCGCAGGTGTATCAGTGGTCAAGCCATCAAGTACGCGCGAAACGAAGTATTTTGAGGACATTGCAAATGGCCGTTCACCAATGGGTGCGTTGATTTGATGACCGTAAAGAGGTGCCTTCATAGGTCCCAACAATAAAAGAATTCCTGGAATGAGTGAAGGCCTTCTGTTCAGTTAACATTTGGGAATGGTCTTGAAATCTCCTTTTCGAAATCCAGAAATCGCCAGAACTCTGCAAGAAATCGCCAAGAGCAGATAGAAAGGTCACACGAAGAGCTGGAAAAGTGTGGTGTTTGAGAGAAGTTTTTATTCTCCTAGTGGGTAGTACATTACATTTTCCCAGATTTTTTTCTTCCTCGTTGTCAGTCTACCAAAGATCGTTCCTAGTAGAAAATACTTGAAGGTGGATGTCTATGGTGGCCACATAGACGAGATTGAGCACGGCAGTCGTTCATCACACCGAGGAATCAGTAGTGGTAAATAAATGGATAAAAAAGAAAATAAAAGGAGCGGAAAAATTAACACAACGTCGGTGCGGCATTGCGATTTGCCCGACTCTGCTATGGGTGTCTGACTGTTCATGTTTTAGATCATGGTGCACGACCAACGGTCATCGAAAGAATCTATCAGGAAATTCATTCTAGAAAAAAACCCACTGAATGATCTACTCTATAGGAAAGCGACTATAAGGAGGAGGCGGAATTTCACGAGCCTCCGAGGACCAGTGAGATGGGCGTCCACCCTTCGATGGAGGCAGGACAATGTCCAACTGCTAATTTATGCCCGCGAAAGCGAGCTCACTGATCGAATGGCCCCCTTGAAGATAGAAAACAGGAGTAGTCAAGAAAGGAATGCATGCAGACCAACATTGTTTGGTTTTACATATTGATATGAGTAGTTGACCCATGCAGGCAGGGTTCTGATCAACTGCCTGATCCGAGAGACCATTTAAAGGAAGCATTCATCATTCATTTCTGTTTAGAATCGTAGTGCCGTTTCAACGCGTATTCAGCTCACCCAATGTTGTTTGATAAATGCACAGTACATTTTTATTCTGTCATACCAGAGCGACACCATTGGACCGTTGCTGAGAGGATAAAAGTTTCCCTGGCACATGGGTGTCTTGGGCCGTTTTCGTGATGACCGTGATGACAGCGCGTTAGCTGACTTTACCTCATTCACCCCCTCCCCCCCCCNCCCCCCCCCCCCCCCCCCCCATTTATACTCGAGCGATACCACCCAAGGAGTTACGAACTCACTGTTTAAAAATAGGGTTGGATTTCTCGATAACTCAGTCGAGCTCAGCGATTAAGCAAGCTTATGGACATCGCCAAGCTCACACCGAGTTCACATGCCTTCCAGGGGTTATTGAGCTCAAACGAATATCGCGTATTTACGCGCTGCGTAAAGCACTATCCTGTTCCCCTGAGTTACGGCACTCGAAGAGGGACGGTAGCTATCGTGCCCAGTGCATGCATGATTCGTGCTCAGCGACTTAAACAATGTCAAAAGTGTAATCTACTCGGGGAGCGGAACTTGAGAAAAATCTATCCCCACTGTAAAAAACTGAGATTGTGAAGGGCGAGCAGGGCTTGTCTATGTTATGTATATGTCACGAGACCCTAATTCTCCTCGACTTTCTTGTAAACCACTGCCCTCTTTATGAGCTGAGCTATGGCGTTCTGTGTGTGTCGGACGGAATGATAACCGCCGCATCAGAAGTCTCAAGGGAGCTGCACCCGCCATGTCGAACTCATTTGGTCGATAGAGAGATCCTTTACACAATTTGACTCATTCAAGTTGGGAATAGCATTGATTACATACACGACAGATCAATGGAAGCCCTTTGATGCCAGGGGAAACGAAGGTCAACGAAATGGAGAGCTTGTGTGGGAACTATTGGGCATGCCTTTGCTTCTCTCCTTTATCAGTTGATCCAAGTATATTTTCGACCTTAGCATTCCACATTTTACTGAAATACATCAATGAAAGCACTAAACTGAAAGTCTTAGTTGGACTATTATAATATCGATCCTACGATCTAAAAATTTTGTTCCATTCTGAGATGAGCATCAGATTGTAAGTTCGCGGGGCTTATAGCTGATAGGTAGTGGTTGTGAGTTTATGCGAGGGATAACAGACACAGTTGTTTATATACATATTTTATTATAATGATAATCGTTGAGGTCGTCCTGTGCGGTCGTGTTTCTGCCAGCTGTCGTGAGTGTTTTCTATTAATCGCATTTTAAGGCACTTCCTCTTTGTTTTCTGAGTATTTCTTTTGCGTAGAGTACTTCACTTTTCTAGGTAGTTTTCACAGTTTTTTGCCCAGTTTTTGGCTTTACTTTTTCTCTATTTTTTGAGTTGCCGGTTGTTGCCTGCTACTTGTTATTATTGAATCATTGGACTCAATACTTGGTAGATCAAAGGTCAAATAGAATGCCTTCAAAACAGCTGCGTTCGAAGAAGGTTCCCTTGAACTGTTCCCAGCCACTATCTGGCTCAAGTAGCAGAAACAGCACTCAGGCAACTGTTCCGCAGGCAGAAAATTTCCACAATATGTCGGCCATAGAACTTATCAAGAGTATCATAGAGCTTAATTCTGACCCAGCTATCGAAAACATTCTCATCGCACTCTCGGAGAAGATTCCCATGAATCCGCCGATCTCCTGGAGAGCGATAAACTGAGCCGAAGCATAGTAATCTCAGGTCTGGAGCAAGGGCAGGATGGTCTACGGCCATCGGCGCTTCAGAGGGATTTGGAAGATAAAGTTGCTAAAGTTCTCGATGCCGTAGATGTGGAATGCCGTCCGGCTGAAATATATCGTATGGGAAAACCGAGTTCTAAACACACTCGCCTGGTGAAAGTTGTCTTGCCATCTGGAGCTCACTGGCGACGTGCTCTTGCCAATGCTCGTCTTCTCCGAGATGCTGGGTTTTCGAAGGTCTTCATACGTCGGAGTATGACTGAGGATGAAAGGAAGCGGGAATATGAGCTGCGTCAAGAAGCTTGTGAACGAAATAAGGCTTCCGCGAATGGGTTGTCTATCATGGACAGCTCAAGCGCGCAACTGAATCGCCGCACAATCATTCGGGAAACCTCTAATGTTGCACGGTAATTCTGTCCTTGCTTGCCATTTGCTGAACGCCCGTAGTCTTTGTAATAAAATGGACTATTTACACGCCTTTATAGCTCAACACCATCCCGATTTGGTATTTGTAACCGAGACATGGCTCACTCCCAGCATCCATGACTCCGAGATATTGGCTGCTTTCCCGTATTTGGTGTGCCTGTGGATCGTAGTGAAGGTAGAGGGGGTGGAGTATGCTGTTTAGCTAAAGGTAATCTATTCTGCCATTCTGTTGAACTGAGGTCGTCCACTAAAGCTGATGTTCTCTGCCTAGAACTTTTCTGCCCTAGGAATGGTGCGCGAGTCCGGTTCATTCTCGTCTATCGACCACCAAACTCAAACAGAAATGACGATGAAAAGCTGCTTGAACTGCTCCGTGAAACGGTCTTGGCTGAGTTCAACAGTGTGGTTCTAGGAGATTTCAACCTAGCAATAGACTGGCTGAATCTGCGCGCACGAAACTCGATCTCCTCTACCTTTTGGATTTTTTCTGGAAGTTGGATTGGTACAACACGTCCTCGTACCTACCCATGGCAGCAACACCATTGGTCTGATCTTAGCTTCGCCACTGGCAAACTCTGACCATGCTTCCATCGTTTTCAACGTGATGGAAGAGTTTGGAGTGGCCAGCTACATTCCTTTTCCTGATTTTCTGAGCGTCAACTATAACGCCCTCGACGAGTACTTTTTTAGCATTGATTGGCTTCTGCTGTTTGATAAATACACTTCTGTCGATGATGCATATCAGAGGTTCTGCAAGGTGGTTTATGACGCCCTTGCAAGATTCTTCCCGATGAAGTTCCCTAAGCATCGTCAAATCCAGTACCCACCACATATAAGGAACTTGTTGATTCAGAAAGAAAGACTATTCCGAGATTCAGTCGCTCCACTGACTTCACCTCTTTATCGAAGAGTATGCTTTGACACAGACCGTCATTTGAAGAAGTTTTTAGCTGCGTACGAACACCGCCTTGGGAAACAAACCTGTATGAAACGCCTCCACCTCTACCTTCGTAGCAAACTCAAATCTAAGTCATACCTGCCTATCCTAGAAGATCAGACTGGCACTAGACTCCATAGTGATTATGCTAAGGCGGAATCTTTTGGGAGGTATTTGGCTAGTGTTTTCTCGAAACCTAAATCATCTGTGAGCCAGTTGGAGTATGGTGCAATTAATGTTCAAAGCAACTTTCCAGATATTTTTTTACCCCTCTGACATCCGCTCTGGACTGAAGAGCCTGAAAACATCTGCTAATAAGCCCTTCGATGGGATACCCCAAATTCTTTTCAAGAAGTGTCACAATTCTCTTTGCAGACCTCTCGCTCATTTGTTCAACATATCGTTTCTGTCAGGGGAGGTTCCCGGCCTTTGGAAAAAGGCCATTGTTACAGCCATCCCAAAACAACTAGAAGCGACTGAAGTTAGCGAGTATAGGCCTAACAGTATAACTCTCACTGCTGTCAAGGTGATGGAGAAGTTGATTTTTGATAAACTTTCAGCATGGTTTGATAGATTCCATCTGATTCCCGTCGAGCAGCGCGGTTTCCTTCCTGGGGCCTCTACCTGTACTAATCTCCTTGATACATGGTACGATGTTTGTTGGGCAGTCAACAGTGGTAAATCAGTAGATGTTATCCATCTAGACCTTTCAAAGACTTTCGATAAAGTTTGTCATCAGAAGTTGATCAGTAAACTGGAGCGCTACGGTATACGGGGTAAAACTCTCAACTGGATCAAGTCATACCTATTTGGGA